TCCCGTAGGCGGTCTCGTTCGCCCGACTTCCCTACACAAGCATCCCAGCGCCCCCGCCGGGACGACAAGGATTCAGAAGCACCTAGCAAGCTCCCCTCTATCGAGCCGTCCACCAATAACACTGGGAACTCCTATTCGTCCGACCTGTGCGATAAGACAGTGTATGAAATTGCCAGTCTCACGCTTAAGGGGTCCCAAGGTAAAGGTAGAGGAACTAAGAGGGCAGTGCATCCGAAGGAAGGGGAGGACTTCACTTGTCTCCGCCCGACCTCCATTCATCCAGCAACCAAGGTGAAGATAGACACCGGGGCAGAGCTCTCGGTGGTGCCACTGTGGATGGCACGTCGCTCAGGTCTGAAGGTGAAAGCCAGGCCGATTCGCTTTGTGGACGCGACAGGAGGACTTCATACCGCCAGCCATGTCTGCGACTTCGAGATGACGCTTCCAGACCACACTACCATGCGAATCTCCGCCATTGTGCTGGACATACCGCTCTCGTACGTTCTCTTGGGCGGGGAGGCTAGCTTAGCTCTGCTGCCGGGCCTGAGGAGGGAACTTGGGGAACTACGCATGCATAACCCCAAGGTTCCTGCTCCCTTGTCCCCGAGAGACGAAGACCTATTGCCCCGAGGGCATCATGATGATTTTGACTACGAATATGAGGTGGCCCCACGAGCCCCTCGCCTGGCGGCACAGCAAGTGTCCCAGATGATGGATGACAGTTGGAAGACAGTCATGGAACGCATCCGAGAGCGCGAGCCATGCCCATCCCTGAACACTTGCCAGCCCTTGACCATCACGATTCGGGAGGATGTCCCTCGCCAAAAACCAGCGCACATCCCGATTCCGCGGGAACATGAGCCGCAGGTTTTGGAGTGGATAACGGAAGGAATCGAAAATAACCTCTTCAAGGAGGTGTCTTCAGCCGAATTCGCTGCCGGATTGATCATCATCCCGAAGGCGAATGGAAAAATCAGGGTCTGCATAGACTTGCGCTCCCTGAACGAAGTCGTGCCTCCTCGCAAGGGCCGTTTGGCCATTGCCCACGCCCTGTTGCAGAAGGTGTCACAAGCCCGCGTCTTCACAACGCTGGACTTGTCCAACGCCTTCCACCACATTCCCATTGCCCAGGAGTCTCAGAGGCTACTGGCGTTCAAGTATAAGAACCGCTTCTTCGAGTGTTTGCGCATGCCGTTCGGACTCAACATCGCCACGCATGTCTTCTCCGAAGAGTTGGGCAAGATCCTCGAACCGTACGAGGACTTTTGCACATTCTATGTGGACGACATTATGGTCTTCTCCAATTCGGAGGAGGAGCATGTGGAACACGTACGACAAGTGCTGGAGGCGCTAGACCGGGCCAACGCCAAGCTGAACCTTGACAAGTGCTGCTTTGGTGTCAACCGGGTCGAGTACCTTGGCTTTACCATCGGACAGGACGCCATCAGCATCACCGAACAGCGGATTGAACAAATCAACAGTCTGCCATTCCCAGGAACCGTCAAGGAGTTGCGGCGCTTCCTGGGGATGGTAGGATACGTGTCGCCCTGGCTGCCTCGGCTAGCGGTGCACACGAATCCTTTCAATGATCTCCTAAAGGGAAACCCAAAGGGGAAGATCCAAGAGACTCCTGAGATTCGGGTGCATTTCGAGGCCATCAAGAGGCTTCTGCAACAGTCTTGTGCATTGCATGCCCCCGACATCACAGAGCCCTTCTTCATTTTCTCTGACGCGTCTCAGGACAGCGTTGGAGCAGTACTAATGCAATATCGAATGAACAAGGAGACGGGGAAGCGGGAGCGCTGCATCGTAGAGTACTTCAATAAGACCCTGCAGCCGGCTCAGCGCGCCTATCCTATCCATGAGAAGGAGATGCTTGGAGTGATCATGGCCCTGGAGCGATGGGCCTATCTGGTCCAGAACGGCCGGCGCATCACCGTGTTTACCGACAACCAAGTCATCTCCCACTGGCGGAAGGAGCAGTTCATCTCCATGAGGGTGGCAAGATGGATAGCTCGTCTGGAAGAGTTCCCCTTCTTGCAGCTGAAGTACATCAGCGGCGAGGACAATTCGGCGGCCGACTACCTGTCACGCATTCCCGCGCGGATTGGCCTGAAAAGGGAGCGTCCGGAAGAAGAGGACCAAGACATCCTCGACAAGCCGGAGAAACGGCGCATTGATAAGGACCGAATTTATGGTATTCCTCTGAGAGACCATATGTTCCAGTCCTCTAGTACAAAGAAGGTCCCGGCCACTGGCCCCAACCTTCCTTCCACGGTCCACACGAACCTCTCTCGGAGTGGCCATCTACACATCCCATTGATTGGGAAGATCGATCGACTAACCTCCCTTCACGAAATCCTTCGTAAGGCACAGATTGAGCTGCATAAGAAGGAAGGGGATGAGGATATCGAGACAACGGATACAGGAGAACGGCCTCTCCTCTATAAGGGGCGGCGGATTATCGTCCCTGATCAGGCGGTCGAGGCTCTAGTTCACCATCTACATTACGAGGCAGGACTAGCTCACCCTGGTCAAAAAGCGATGCTCCAAATCATTCGGAAGATGTTCACTGGAAAAGGATTCCGTCTGGCAGTGGAAAGAGTGACCCAGAACTGTCCCACATGCCTGAGGTACAAACCTAAGAACTCGAAGGTCTACAATCCGTCCCCAGTGCGAGTTCCGGATGGCCCCATGCAATGCGTGGCAATCGACTTTACCGAGTTCTGGACCAAACAGGACCCAAAGAAGAAACTCAAGTGCCTGATTATCGTGGATGTCCTGACTCGCTATGTCATGGCTATCCCGTTCGAAGGCCGCATCACATCTCGGGTTGTCAAAGAAAGACTCTTGGAGGAACTAATCAACCCATTCGCTCCTCGAGTCCTCATCTCTGACAACGACTCTCTTTTCACCTCGGTTGAGTTCACATCATTCCTCATTGGACAAGATATCGTGCATGTACGTTCAGTAGCATATAGAGCGCAATCTAATGGTACGGCAGAAAGAGGAATCCGCTCTATTAAGGCAAAGCTCGCAACTATCGTGGCAGAAGACGACACCATCGACATCAAGGAAGCCATCTCTCGAGCAGTTCGAGCGCACAATGCGTGCCCGACCTCGCTGGGTTACAGCCCTCACTTCTTGGTCCATGGGAAGCATGACGTCACTTCTCCAATGGCTCTGCTCCCCAAAAACCAAGAACTCACCCCAGAGGTTCTCGAAGAAGTAAAGAAACGCTTCGAGAAGGAGGCAAGGAAACGCATTGAGGCCCGCATGGCCAAGACGCGCAGGCACGACATCCGCCCAGGAGACTGGGTGGTTCCTCTGCTCACCGATCGAGACAAGACGCTAAATAAGCAGCCGGGCTTGAAAGCGCACACGATGTTCCGAGTGAAATGCCTGAAATCCAACAACGTCATCGAACTTGAGGGCAAGCCTCAAGGGTGGGACTCAAACATCTGCCATGTAGACGATGTGAGAATCATCCCTCGAAAGACTCAATAGTTGGACATTCAAGCCACGACCGGAGGCAGGCATTCTTTCCATATTGTCTTGGAAGCTTACAGCAACCTGACAATAGGGGGGGAGTGAAATGCCCCCGCTCGTGACACGACACGTGATCCCCATTACTGCCAACGCTTGTATGAATGCCGCAGCCTAGGTATATAAGGCTGCGGCCC